ATGGCACCAATTATGCACCAGAAAGCACTGCTGATGGGCTGGTTTCACAGCAAAAAGTGCTAGGGGAAAAACAGATGCAGGAGGCCTTTAGGTTAAAAAACAACAATGACAAAGATGTTAGAGACATGAGGAAGCTGAGCCTCTTGGGGCTTTTCTTTCCAAACAGCAGTATGCTCCCAATGCAGACATGTGGAGGTGTCCGGTTGGATCACAGACCCAAAGAAATGAATGCAATATTTTCAGAGCCAGTCCAAGCAAGACCAGGGCTAATCACATGCTCTTAATAAAACCGACTTCCCCATGGAAGTCTTGAAGACTTTACGTAAATTTAATTTGAAGTTTGTTAATCTAGAAAGTAGTGGACATGCGCCTGAGTTGTTGTGACACTCTGTCAGACAGTAAAAGTTCAAATCCCCTGTGTGATGAAGGTGTCAGAGAACAGAACGTGCACCACAAGTCATTCTGTCATTCTGTTTTGTTAATCCTCTGGACTGACTGTGCTCATTGTGCGTTGTTTACAAGCAAAAATCTATTTACCTGTCATTTTATGTGTTATATTAATAAAGCAAAACTTTTTTCAGTAACTAGCAGCGTAAAGAATAATTATTTTACAAACAGTAATAATATCACAGTTACTAATCCAAGTAATGTTGCATAACTGCATTGCTTGAATGCCATTTAACTGGGGCTGTTTTATTACGTATATGTGCATATGGGCAGGTTCACACCAGCTAACAGCCAAAAAGCTAAACGAAGGATGGAGAAGGACAAGAGGCGTGCTTTCACCATCTGGAGGTATTGTCATTATTCTGAGTTTATCTCAGTCAGTGATGCAAAAAACACTGTTGCCATAAACTTTGTGTGAGCAGCAAAATGCTTTCAATAGTAAAAAAATATTTGCAGTTAATTTATTAAAGAATCTGGAATGGCAGCACAGCAAACATGACACTGGCCCTGGCAGATAGACCTGTACTACCACTGAAAAATCCATTTCAACCAAACAAAAGAAGTTGGCTTCACAGCAGGAAACACTAATGGACAGATGTTAAATAGAAAAGATTTGAACAAGCTTGTTGCTGGGTACATTGTTACTCATTACCAGTGTTAGCTTAACGTCAAAAGCTTTTAAACTATTCACTGGATCAGCGCTTGCACTGTGGAGCACAGCAAAGCCACCATGTAGAAGAATCAGAGGCAGGCACACATATGGTGTCATGGGTGCAGCGGTAGAACACACTCATTCATCTTATAAACTGCTTGGCTGTGTCATAACCACTGTGACAGATAATGCATCAAAAATGTTTCAGCCTGTTGATTCAAAGTCAGCCTCTGAACTGGATGAAGAAGACAGTGATAACAGATCTCACACTGATGCTAGTGGTCAGTTTACTTATTTTTAATGAGTAACATGTTATGAGTACTTTTTCAAGTAACTCACCCAACAGAGATCATAAGGGAACATTTTGTCAAGAGAGGAGGGCTAAGCAACCAGCTAGACATGAAAGTGGCTTGTCTGCTATGTAAGAAGCAAAATTAGCATCTTCAGTGGGGTCTGGGAAAACCTTTAAAGCCGGGAGAAGCTTTAATTCGGTTGAATGGTGCTGAGCTAAAAACATGCATACAGCGGGTAATTACAAGTGTTTGCTCAGTGGCAGAATTTTTTTTGGCACACATCAGGATCCAGCAACACAACAGCAGAGCTGACTTGTTCACTCATGTGCAGATGCTGTCATGTAAAGCTGAAATTTAGAAAAGGGGAGCTCTCCGTAGACAGGGAAGTGAAAATGAGACCATCTATATTCAAGCTCTCTTTCATTCAAAAACAATCACACAGCCAGAAGAGCTACAACTTTGATGCACAGATGGTGTATGTAAACTTTCCCATTCCCCTCCTTCTCATGCTCTCGTCCGGTAATGTCTCTCTCATTCCCTACGTCCAGCATTCTTCCTTTCTCTCATCATCCTGTGTGTCACTGGATTTCTCTCACCCTGCCTGCAGAGAAGCACCTCGGCTTACTCACCGTCCCGCCTAAATTTAATAAATGGAGCCTTGTGAAATTGACGAGCAGGATGGGAACACCACGGCTGGGTAAATGTTAGCTGAAAGCTTTGGTTCTGTAATTTGGAGCTTTCATAGAAAACAACCAGCGAAGGGATTGTCTATGGGTAAGACAAATTCATTGCTTCCTCGTCTCCCTAAATGGCTCACTGAACAAGACAGCAGAGGCGAGCCGGGTCAGGAGTTCTGTGGGCTTCAGTATAACAAGCAATCAAACTGACTCCAACACTAAGTCTGATTGGGGTTAGCATTGGTGAATTCAATCATGACCTCGTATTAACAGTCAAGAAAAAGAAAAACTCCATATCCATTAGAAAAACAAGTGGGGAAAGCTTCACCATTTGTGTCGACCTTCTAAGTGATTGAAAAATGAGAGCAGAAATCACATAAAAATCAATCTTCTCATCTAGTTCTCAGCAACACAGTAAATTAACATATTTCCTTCAGAAATTGTAATCTTTGTCTGAATGTAATAACACACACCGGCATGGTGTTATTACTGTCCAAGCAACAGTATTTCTGAGAAGTTCTTAGGTGTTGCCAGTGCAATGCCAGTGAAAAGTAGAGAATGTGTGCTGGTGTGCCCTGTGTGGTTGTTTGCTGAATTAAATTTAGCTGTCTCTGCTGGCATACTAGTGGGTGAAATGAGATTTATTTTCACCTGCTTATTGCACTTATGGCGGGGGAGAGCTGAATAAAAGGGGCTCCTTTTTCCCTCCCTCAAATGAGATGGAGTTTATAGAAAAACTTGCTTTATTCCACAGGCAGAATTACTCCCTTAGATAACTTCTGTGAGACCTGCTTTCTCTTTATGTCAAGCTGACTGACAAATAATCTGACTGATGGATCACATCTTTAAAAGAGAGTAGAAGGTGAAGAATTTGGCATGCAAGCCCAGATATTGAAAATCAGTCTGTGAGCTATGGAGACAAGGTTATCCTGAACAGTGGAGAGATTTCAGCAGAGCATTTTCATCCACTTTATGATGAAAGGCTGCTGTCATGTTAAAGATCTGATATGAGGTGGATCATAGAGATATGGTGCAGACAGGGTGCAGATTGTTGATGATGGTTGTGGGAAAGGAAAATGAAAGGCCCTCTGAATCTCTAATGCACAACTAATTTTGTGCTCTTTGGCATGTGTTATGTGGTGCAGAACAAGTGTGGGTATAGCTAAACAGCGAGGCCTGTGGAGGATTCAGTTTCTGCTCAGAGAAAAATCTACTTATTCTTATTGCCTGTTTCAAATCTCACCAAGAAGGTGTGGGGGCGTTCGGCTGCTCAGAGCCGAAGAATCTATGCTGTTGTAGGCAGAGAGAGAGCTCAGTGCTGAGATGCGTGGAGGATAGGACACTCTTGTATCACTCACCAGGCATTCTTGGCAGCTTGTTGTCTTTTGTGTGGTAAAACCTTTGACTGGTAATGTGCCTGAACCCTGTATCATCAGAAAAGACTTGTTTTGCATCTGCATAACATCCAGGCCCCCTTTTTTTTTTTTTTTTTTTTGGCTGGGATATGTTGGAATGGTGCTTGTGCTGGCAGTTTCATGCATGATCCCACTGCTGATGTCACAATCCTCCCTGTAAAGGCTACAGTGAGCGCATCACACAGTTATGCACGTCACGCACCAGTTCTACAGGAAATGTGTGTTTCCTTTTCTGAGGCTCCAATTTCTGCCTATCTTTGCTTTGGCACATTCACGTGTAGTACTTAAAGAGTTCAAACACCTGGTTAAAAGGCAGAAAAGTGGGAACAACTGAAGACACACTGAGGGAAGGTTTAAGGCTTCTAATGCTTTGGCATCACAGATGGTGTCAGAAGATGTACATGGCAACTGAGATGCTGGAAAGACAGCTACATTATTTCACCAATTTCTTTGAGAATCTCAGTAAAGACACACTCTAGCCAGCATGACTCTGCCACAGCCTGAGATGGATGCAATAAACAGCAAAATGGACCCCCATTCCTAAGAGTAATGGAGCTGTCACTGGTTAGTTCTGACCCAATAGTAACCCCCCTGGGGTGATGGTATGGCACCCATCTCTGCACACAGCAGCAGGTGAGGGAGGGTGGGCCACATGTCTGATGATAGCAGTCATCCTCACTGGGAAATGGGAAAAAATAGAGGTCACTGTAATCTCATGGGAGAAGTGTGGTATTGCATTATGGAGATGGAAATCTTACACACTCACATTGTGAGGACTCAGCCTTCCATGTGGGGACCATGTAAATGATTGAATTTTAGGTCGATGGCTTTGTTTTATGTTTAGGGTGAGGGTAGGGTCATGTGAGTACAGTAGTGGCTAAGGTGCTATAGATGAATTATTTCGGCGCGTCCTCACAAGTATAGAAGGACAAGTGTGTATGGGGGGGGGTCTTGTTTTTCAATACTTAAGTGGCATAAAATCCATGAGTTACTATCTTCGTGCAGACCAGAAGTCACTTTTGGGGACTGGAGACTGGTCGGTTTGTCGACTTTTATGAAAATGATGGGTGTAAGGTTAGAGCAAGTGTCAGCTTTGGTTAAGTATTAGGGTTAAGGTTAAGTGTTAGGCAAGTAGAAGTTCTTGTTAAGGTTAGGGTAAGTCTCCTGGAAATGAATGTAAGTCTATGTAGGGACTGGGTGAGTGACAAAAACAAGGATGTGTGTGTGTGTGCCATCCTTTTGGGGACCAGAAGCTAGTCCCAGCAAGGAAATCACTGAATTTTAGGGTGGCAACATGGCTTAGGGTTAGGATGAGATTAGGTTAAGTGTTAGGTGTTAGGCAAGTAGTGATTATGGTTAAGGTTAGGATAAGTCTACAAGAAATGAATGTAAGTCAATGTAAAGTCCCCACAAGGAAGGAAAACACAGCGTGTGTGTGAATACCCACGGAGACAGTGACAGAGAAGGAGGAATGACAGTCTTATGTTCATGTGGGATGCTGAAGTTGATTGTTGATGCCTGGCCGGGGCTGATGAACCCTGTCGGCACTAATATGGGAATTCTGTTCCTTTTATAACAGCAGAAGCAAGATCACATTTTATTTGTTCTGAGAGATATGCCATTGTGTTCATCCTACTGTATTCAATGCCTGTTAAGATCGCATTTCCGATAATGCAACGTACTTTACAGCATCAGACCTGCCTTGCATGGCAAGGCAATCGCGCATCCAATCTAGAGACAGCTTCAGTAGCCTGTGTGCTCTCAGGAGGAGTGAGACATGCCTTCTCGCTCAGCCTGCTCCCCATCCATGGCGCATCTCCAGCTCTGAATCCACTTCGGCTCTCGATCCTCCGCTTCACACACACGCACGCATTCACACACATATTATTACAAATGCAGCGTGGAAGACTGGATCTGTCGGAGAAACCCTATCTAATTGAGCGCGCTGGGGGTAAGGCATCATTTTTTTATTCATCCGTTGTGTATTTTACGCACAGCGAGCGGTAGCCTGCTTAACTGTTTTCTCACAAACTAGATTAGACAGTTTATAAATTATAACGAGGAAATGGGAGTAAAAACCGAGGATTTCTCTATACAACATCTAAAAGTGTGTCTACTGCGCTCAGTGGTGAGTTTGTAGTGATTCTCGTCCTATACTATAGTTTTGTGTTGGTGTCTGTTTATTTCACTGTTCTAAGATTTATACAAAGCCTACAACAGCTGTTTATCAAATTATAACCTTAGGGGAAGGGATGTGGATGCAGTCTGTACTGCTGTCCAATCACTGTTAGTTTATTTTCTGTTTTAAAATGGAAATGTGTGCTGTTCATCACTGTAACAATCACGAAGACTCGCGCTACCTTATCGTGAAGATAACTGACAGAACAAGCTCCAAAGTTGCTGCCATTTCTATTACTAACCCTTATGTATTATATTTTAATCATTAATTTCATTATTGTTAAACTTTATTTATATATATAGCCTATTCATCTTTCATTTTTCACTTAAGCAGCCCGTGCCACCCACCCTCCATCTCTCTGCACTGTTTGTCAATGAGCCACACAGTGAGAGCAAACCCACTGTTAGCAAAGGAAATATTCACCAACGGATAAGATCAGATGAAGTGTTGACTCTTTTTCTTAATTTTTCCTTTTTCTTCTCTCAGTGCTTTTTCTTACTCTGTGTGTGCGTGCTGTAGGAATTACAGTATGTAGAACAAGTTTCATCTTCTCTCTTATCACAGGAGCTCTTCTGTAGCCCCGAGTCAGATGCAGCTTCTCAGCTCTCTGCCTGTGTGTGTGGTGTGGCTTAGAGAAATGGAAAGAGAAGGGGAAAGATGGATAAAGAGATGGAGAACAGAGAAGGAAAGACTAACTGGAGACTTGAAAGTCCCCCTGGGGTCACTCAATTCTCCGTTTTCCAAGGCTGATCAGGAGGCTTTGCCAGTAAACAGCCTCACTCAGAGGATCTGTGAACATACCAACCTGGTTTAATAGAAAAATCTTCAGCTCTGTCACATCCCTCAATCACTGGCATCCCAAATCCCTCAGTATCACCTTCAGCACTAAGTTCTAACTTCATTTTGTTGCCTTTATTTTCCACAGAGGAGGCTGCCTTTCCTGTACCATGCACAAATGTCATGATCTCTCCAACACGTTTGCTGCTAGCTATGTTGTCTCAGCAGCAGCAATGCATGTGTTCACCAAATTTACAACTCAGGCTTGCCAGAGGAGCATGCAGTGCTTGCTTGATCCTGTCCTGGAGGCTTTTATTCCCTGTATGTGCAGCTATTGTATGAGGGATAACAAAAGCAGAGACCATTTGAAGCCTGCAGTCCCCTTCCAGCTGTTTACAGAATGTCTATTATTCCTGGTGTGAGTCCCAGCACAGGAGGAGTTATAAGCCCTGGAGAAAGGAGGACTTGCAAATCAAATTGCTTGAATGCATTAAAGCATCTGTCTTCATTCTCCAGAGGGCAGCAGGGTGTGTAGCAGAGGCGGTTTCAGCTGTGATCATGGTGGTGGGGGTGGGGGTGGGGTTGTCCCTGAAGAATCATACAGTATGGTCCTTGGTTAGCCAGCTGTGCCATACATGTAGGGAATGGATGGCAAGTCTGTCAAACAGGTTTTCTTCTTTTTTAGAGATAGTAAGAAGCTTGGTCAAAGTTACTCATTATCTGCAGTCATTCACACTTATGTCTCTGCTTTCTCTTCAGTACCTTCTGTCCTTAAAGAGATGTAAAATATTTTTAAATTTGTCCTGACACAAGGCAAACGATATAGTGTCCCAATTTTCTCTCATCCTGTGCACAACCACTAGCCTGAGAAACAAAGTTTCTCCCTCCGATGCGTTAATTCTGCAGTTGATGTTTTTAGCCGTATTCAAACAGAATGGTTCATGATGTAAGCTTGATTTATTTCCCCCTCACCCACAGAGTAAATGTATTTGGTTTTGCGCTGTTTGTGATTAATGGAACATCAAAAGCCGATCTCAGCCCAGTGTGATACATTCCTGAGGATATGAGTCTGCCAGGGACACATAAACATCATTAATGAACAAGATGCATACTGGGGTGAGATAGAATGACAGAAAGAGGCTGAGGATGCAAACAGGAAGGCAATATTTATTTTTGTCAGTATATGATGTAGATTTACCTGTGGTTTGGATGATGATTGCCTCTGTGCAGCCACTGTGAGTGATGGAGAGACGGTTTGTGCAGAGGCATCTTATATGATTCATCAGTAAGGACAAATGGATGGCAGCGCCTTTTTTTCTTTCTTTTTCTAAATCCATTTGGAAAATCACATTTCCCTTTGCTCTTTCATGCCCAATGGCAAAGAACTCACAAGTGTATAAAGGAAACTTCTATGTGAAGACAGCTATATTTGTCTGGGTATGTATTTCTCTGGGCATAGACGCTTAATTGCCCAGAAGAGAGGACGCAAAAATGAAATGCAATTATGCAACTATATGCATGGTATGTTGAATAACAGAGTTGTTGTTGATAGGGACATTACTGCTGACATTTTCCATAAGAGGTCTGACCTTCTAGTCCTGTTTTTTCCCAGAACTTCACATTCTGAACCTTTAAAATTCATATTCAAAGTACTTACACTGTATGTTAGAAATGCTTTAAGGTGCTGTCTGTTTGCACTCGTTGTGCAAAGAGCAAGCTTATCTGCAAACTTTTGCTAAACATATCTGCCTTTAAGGAATAGTTCATCATTTTGGTACATATATTTATTTACTTGCTATTATGGAGGTACAACAAGCAACTGGATAGCTTAGCTATGTATGAATACTGGAAATAATGCAAAACAGATAGCCCATCTCTGGCTGAAAGGAAGAAAAATAAATTAACACGTTATACCTCATTTGTTTAATTTTTGCATAACAGAAGTGCAAATTGTCAGTTTTATACTTCTTTGTGAAGAGAGAGAGAGACAGATAACTTGTTGCATCTGCTATCATATTTACTTGACAGACATGTTGATCTTTTCATCTAAGTCTCAAAAAAGCAAATAAGAATATTCCTTAAAACTATTAATTTCTTCACTTAAAATACTTGTACTGCTACTAGAAAATGCTGTTATAGGAATTGAAGGACAAAAGTTCTGAACTAGCATATGACATATACTTTTCTTTCCACTGTTGAAGCGCCCTTGAGCAAGGCTGCCCCCTGCTTCAGCAAAGGCCACACATCAGTAATTAGTAGAGGGATGCAGGTGTAAATGTGTGAAAGCTACACAAGCTACATGAAGCTGACAAAATGCTTTAAAATGAGCTCTCATTGTGTGTGCCTCTCTGCCTCCTGGTGGCATTAGTGCGAAAGATGTAGAGCCAGAGGTGTAGGCAGAATGGAGTGCTCCTGGAAGACGGTGCTGCTGCTGGTGTGTGCATCTCTGGGGATCCAGTACACAGCCATCCGCACCCTGAGGGACTCACTGTCTGGACCCTGTCAGGGAGCCTACCGCTGCCAGAGCAGACACCACAGAGGTACGCCTCACAGACACTGCAGATTGTCCCAGATTGTAGGTGTTTATACAGTAGATATACAGTATACTCATGTTTAATACATGCTGTAAGAAACATCCATTTTTCAAAATTCACCTGTATTTGGTTGAGCAGCAGCAGAGGGCTTTCACAAACACCCACTCAACACTTGGCAATACTGATGAAGTTTGTTATATTTTAACAGTTTGGAGAAAAGCTTTGTGCAAAGTCATGCCATAAAGACAGAGACAGCATTAAGAATCAAGCTGCAGATCATTAAATGAGGGAATTCCCAGCAAGTGGGGACAACAGAGGAATTAAATATGTGTGATTTTATTTTACAATTATCTTCCAATTTATCTCCATTAATGCTCTCTCAGAGCACAGCTGTAGCTCACAGCTCCTGTGGACAAAAGTAACCTCCCTTTTGCAATCAACTCCTCATCAGCAGTAATTACACGTTAGCTATTTGCACTATATTTAGAGATCCGCCATTTCATAAACCCCCCTCAGTAGCCACCAGCAGACAAGCAACTTACTCTGGCATGTTTACCCTCTAAATTATTAAAGCTTTACTGGCTTGATTCAGTAGTTTACTTTCTCCCGAAGTCATGATAAAAAATGGACTCACTTTCACTTTTATGTGCTAAAATACATCTTCCGAAAAATGTGGAATAACTTTTCTTTAACCAGAACTTGAAACTAGAAAATAGGTAATCAGCTTGTGTAGTATGTTATTTAAAGTTATTATTTAGATTATTAAAAAGATTATGATGAAACAAAGCATATATGGTTTTTGTTTTCTTTCTTCGAGACTCCAAATGGAGAGCCTTGTGCGATGACAGTTGGATGCCTGTGGAGTCGCCTCGGAAGCACATCCTGCTGTTTGCCACCACACGCAGCGGCTCATCCTTCACTGGGCAACTCCTCAACCAGCACCCAGGGATCTTCTATGTGTTTGAGCCTCTCTACCATGTCCAGCAGGCCTTCACTAATTCCAGCAGCAGGGTGCGTCACACCCTGGACCGCCGAGCCCTCCTCGGAGCATACAGGGACCTCCTCCTCAATCTGTACACTTGCGACCTTCACTTCATGGAGAATTACATCCGTCCGGAGCCTCAGGACCATGTCACGAGCTCTTTTTTCCGCCGAAGCTCCAGCCATGCTCTCTGTTCTCCTCCCGTGTGCCTAGAAAGAGGGGAAGTAGTAGTGGTCTCTGATCTCCCTGATGAAATCTGGTGTCCAAAAAAGTGTGGGGCCCTTAATCTCACTCTAGCCTCTATGTCATGTCTGTCAAAAGGACATATAGCCATAAAGACTGTGCGGGTTCCTGAGGTGAAGGACCTGCGCACCCTGACTGAAGATCCACGTCTGGATCTGAAGATCATCCACCTGGTGAGAGATCCCAGAGCCATCCTTGCCTCGCGCATGATGGCATTTTCAGATCAGTTTCGCGCTTGGAAAATATGGAACGCCACAGGACGGCAACCTCGATACGTGGACCTTTCGCAGATCACCAGCACCTGCAAGGACATGTCGGCCTCTGCGGAAACAGGCCTGCGGAGACCGACGTGGCTGAGGGGACGCTACCTGCTGGTCCGGTATGAGGACTTGGCATTGAACCCAACAGACAAGGCCAATGAGATCTATAGGTTTGTAGAGCTAGATATGGAGGACAGGGTGCAGACGTGGATCGCAAAGAACACCAACGCTAACATGTCGTCTCCGCCCGAGTGGAGCTACAGGTACTCCACCACCAGAGACTCCAGAGTGACGGCGGAGAGCTGGAGACTCCGTCTAGGCTTTGACATTGTCAGAACGGTGCAAAATTTGTGCAATGACACTCTGGCCCTGCTGGGATACAAGCAGGTTCACTCTGCAGCCGAACTTAGAAACTTGTCCCACAGTCTAGTGGAACACAGGCTCTTTCAGTAGATTTGATTAAAGGTTAAAAAACACTTTCTCTTTCTTTATTTAATTATTTACTGTCATGATCCTGATGAAATGAATGTAATTTATCTTATTTGATCTACTGCCTAAGGTAATTTAATATTGTATTTTCACTTTTTACGGTTTTGTTAAATATATTAAAAGTGCCAAATTTCAAGCGTTTGTGACGCTGGAAGAAGTATTGATCCAAAAAGTCTATAGTGCTATACTATATATGTTCACTGAAAACTCCAGACATTATTAAGTTAGTAGCTTGTTTTCACTCTCATAAATCAGTTTTCTCATAATTTCAGCCTTACAGAGTTTAAATGAGAAAGTAAACACCTCAAAAAGTGATGCCCCGAAAGCATGACGCTCAAAAAGCAACAAGGATTTATCTGTTTACTGTAAAAAGAGATTTTTTTTAAAAACAAAGAAAAGGAAATTACAGGCCTTTACTTCAAAGTGTCTCTAATACCCTTTGTAAAAGGATTATATTGACATATGTCACTGGTAAGAAATCTTCACCAGTGCAATCTTCTGCACAGCAGATCTGTTTTCTGCGAGAGGATGCTGAAAATATGAGAATATGTTTGTTTTTCCTTCACTGTAAATACTTAAATGCTATAAATACTGAATAACTGTTGCAGTGCAAATGTGCCAAATGTTATTTACTGAATGTATTTGGACATTTTTGTCAGTGAAACTATACTGTTTATATTTTTTAGCCTTTTTAAAACAAATAATTCATATGTAAGTAATGCATATCACAGCACACTGCAGAAATCCTTTTACAACCATATTGCTTTGATGTATTTTTATATCATTTAATCCTGAGAAGAAAGTGAATAAGTGCTTGTGTTTGAGTGCTGAAAACACAGAATTGTGCAAATGTGTTGTCTTTTATCTTGTAATACCTCTGTATTTGTTTTGGTCTTCATCCACATTTCAATCCTGCTGGTGTGTCTGTAGTAACAGACATGTTTTTGACTCAAATGAACACTTGCTGCACACACTGTGTCTCATTCTGAGTTTAACTTGGAGCCTAAAAAGAATAATATCAGGATCATTCAGTGGTACCAGCTGTCTGTAGTGGAGTATAGTCAGAGATTAGACAGCTGCAGGTTCTCTGCCAGTTCCACCCTCTGAAATTGGTCTTTGTGTCTAAACAGAGGAGGGAAGTGCCATCTCCAGACACCAGCCCATTTATTTCCATGTAGAGCTGCTCTCTTGAGATAAATGCTGGAAGTAGTTTCTGAGGGAGAACTCATTGCATGAATCATAGACCAACCACTGACTGACTGTGATTTTCTTCCCTTTTAAATGTACGCATCACATCTTCTTATAGAGGCTCCAACTGTATAGCCCGCTGGGAGCCATGAACTTTAATACTTATGGCACTAAAGAAAGCCACTCCACAGTGAAGGAAAGTTTGCAATTTAAGTGGAATGGTTATGCATTTCTGTGAGCACTATTAAATCTGAGGTGAAATTGTCTCTTTAATAATGTATTTTTAGGCACCCAGTCCTCCCCATCCTTCCTGTAGCTGCCCTATAGCTGCTGACACCGGGGATATCTCAGCACAGCCCAAAGAATTGATCTACATCCAACTGAGGAGAAACAGGATTTAAGACACATGGAGCAAAGAGCTGCCATCTTCCTTTGAACTTAATCTGCAAGGCTACACAAACTGGCCATAAAGCAAAGCTTTATGACACCCAGGGAAATGTGCTTCACTGGTTGCTTGACCCCCACCCCTACGCTCAAAGCTGCAAGTGGCCTGAGTCAGCCATCAGCTAATTAGCCATTTCTTTGTAATCAATACTGGCAATACATTCCTGTCTCCTTAACTATGTGCTGATAAATTTAGGTCTTATCAATACTAGTAACAAATATTGTATGAGGTGCATGCTGATATTGGGAAATGCCAAATAGCACACAGTTTAATCTACACCAGTGGATTGTAGCCTTTTTGTTAGACGTACAGCTGTGCTAGATGAACTCAAGGGCCCCTTTCACTGTTTATTTCTGCCATGATCCATTACTTTTAGCTCTTTTGTTTTAATCTAAGATATTTTATCATTCATCAATGACTTTTTTATTTTGAGTTGTTCACAATTACCTCCATTTAACCATCATTTCTATTATAATTAATTTTAGCAAGCTAGTGATCCATCCATCCATTATGTTTCGCTAATAGTTTGCTTGCTAACTAGTTTTAACAAACTCAGTTATGTTTATGTTATAGCTGATTTACTGTGTGAATATTTTTTTAATTCAAATTGCAAAATACGTTCAGATTAGTTCAATAAATCCACAATCTTTCCACTTACCTCCTGGCAAAAGCATAAGTACCTGTGGGATACATCTGTCCCCTGGCTGGGAATCACTGAGTTCTGCTGTCCAGACAGACAAACCAGAAGACAGAAGAGATGCAAGAGGAGCACACACACATTTATGGAATAAAATGTGCAAACCTGGATGTTAAAGGGTATTACAGGCGTTTTTAGTCTGTAACTGGAGAGAGCACAAACACATATCTGTAACACTGACAACTCCTGGGAAGCATGCAGGGCAACACTTCCTTCTTTTTACTGTTTTTAGAAACAGGCAAACATGTCTTGAATGTCTGTGTTATTTCCAGGTTTTCCACTATTTTATAGATGAAAGGCAACTAGATAGTAATGGACTGTGTGATTTGCATGTGTGGATAACAGAGAAAGAGAGGGGCTAACTTTACACATTTGATTTTTCTACCAGACTAATAAAGTAAAATGGCATGATGAACAGCTGTGTGAGGATGGAGACTGCACAATGCAAGCACAGTGGAGGAGGACAGTCCTCCTCAGGCGGAAAAGGTTATAGTTGAGAATTTCCTGTGCTCTCATCCACACTGTGAACAGCAGCAAACAAAAAGAGAGAGTGCAGGGATCAATAAAGAATCACATTAATGTAGCAGCTAATGTTGTGGCCACTAGGTTCATATTCAGTAGATGCAATTTGTCCTGTTTTTTTTTTCCTTTCTTTGTTACTTCAATATGGAACCTGCCACAGAATAGCTGAAAAAGTAGAAATCAAAACACAAACCCATGAACCAAATTTCATCTGCTGTTAAAATTCAAGACATGTGATTATCACAGCTTCACTGCTTAGTTTAACAACTCCAGGTCCCAGGCATCAAGGCGCAGCGTGAGCCAGCTTCCAGCAGTGATAAGCACCCCGTTGACCTTCCAGCACTGCTATTGTGTCAGTGGAATCAGCTCCAGTGAATAAACCACCCTCCCCTTTGTATAGGAGAGTATTGCTTTAAGAAAGGTCAGGGCCCGGTGAGAGCACAACACATAGCATATTGACAGCATGGCTAAAATCGCTTGAGAAAAGGTCTGTTGATGACCTAAGAAATATCACAGTGGAACATGCATTCCTCCTTTGTATCAAGGTTACATCAGCACTGAAATATAACATTTCACAGCACACGATCGTTTCTCTCAGCCTCCTAAGTGCTGAGAGCAACTGTAGACTGTAATTTCCTGACTAATCAAGCACATGTGGTGTATCATATCTAAATGTATTATATAAAAAGGTTTTAACAGGGATGAGAAAATACACTGAGCCCTCCTGACATTAAAGCCCAGCAGCTTTTCCTCTACTGAAACAATCATTAAAATCCCAGTAGCACTGGCACGAACAGTTTCCATTTTTCACTCCCCTCGCTTGGATCCAAAGCCGACATTTATGGTGAGATTAAGGAGCATTTAAGACAGAATGAAACCACTTTGAGCCACAATACCTTTATTGCAGGAGCCACACAGGCCCCGAGCAGACATCAACCTCTGTCACACCCATTATTTAAATGCTGATATTTTCCCCCATGCACACAGTACAGGAACACATAGAAGCCCACTATATACACCCTGCTCTTCCTTGGTCATCTCTGTCTCTACTTGTTCTTCTCTCTTTTTCCACACCAGTGTTTGCTTCCTTTTACAAAAAACATCCAACCCTTTCAGCATGTCTATGATA